GCAGTCTGGTGTATCACTGGAGGCTGTGAAATGTACCAACTTATATTACTTAATTACAATTAGAGGAATCTCTTTGCTTAATATGTTTTGCTAAGTTAAAATTCAAGCAGTTTTCAAAATGCTTTGTCCTTTCTCTGTGGGAAAGAATATATATGTCTGGCATGATACAAACATATGAATCCTCACATTAAATTCCCTTAAAGGTAGTAGTATCTATATAAATACATATTTTTACTAATTATTCTTATTGTCAATTTTTTCTTGCTTTTGTCCATCATCCTGAAAAGCAAGTGAATTAGGTTCTCTACTTCAGCCTATACAGTTGAAAGTGACTGTTGAAAAATATGGGAAAAACAAATTTGAAAAGTTCTTAGAGTGTACCATAAAGCAAATGTGTCTCCAAATATAAGAGCGGGTACACCACCAGAGAGATTCAGAGCAGGTACTACAAAAGCTAGCAGAAATAATGCCTGGTGAAGGGGAATCTGTATTTCAGACTGAGGAACAGAGGACTCTTGTGGCAGCACAAGTCTTACTGCACATCTTACTGGCTCGAGTCTATAGGACAGAGTATGAATAAATCAGTGCCTCTTACAGAGTTAAGTTGATTTGCACCCCATTTAGATCATAATTTTCACTTGTGTGCTTGAAAATACACAAGCCAGGAAAGATAGAGGGGATGTAAAGGTAAGAGGAGAAGTGGAGTAGCAAGTGTGCAATACCTTCATCATTTGCTATATATCATAATAGTACGCATGTTAGGAAAATTCTTGCAGGGTTTAAAGGCTAAATGTAATGGTTTAATAGGGAAGGTGTCCATCTTCCTCTCTGGCTTCTCATTTCTGTGTGACATGTGGAAGTTGAATAGCATCACTGAGACAAAATTGTTGCAAGAAGGCAAGTTCAGATCTCACATAGACAGAGGAAATTCTTACCGACTTCAGAGGGAATTGGACACTGACTCCAGTCAGTGAATTTTAGTCTTTGTTCATGCATCCCAAAATTGTAAAAAATTGTTTGTCCTGCCTTTAGGGCAGGGTAGACTTAGAACAAAACATTGCATAGAGGTGTGGTGTTTCCAATACTACAAAACTTCCAGGTGTCACAAAGTGTAACAAAAGCAACATTGACCATCTGAAGGTTAGGTGTCTATTCAGAGTGAGTCTGCACTTAACGGGGAGAGACAGGCATATTCAGAGAATTATTAATCCCATGCTAAAATAGATGCCTAAACTAGATCAGATAAACTTTCCTCGTGATAATCTTATTCTATTGACTATAGAAGGAGTCTAGTGATAGCTGAGATTACATTCCTTCCCACAAGTGTCTGATTCTGAGTGGAAGTCTGGTTTGTCTTTTCCACTTGTATTTTAGAATAAGACCTTCATAATTTTTATTCTTAAAATTCATTTGTTGTTTTAAAAAGATTATCATACTTTTTAGTAATGGCTGGTACTTTTACTTTCAGACTCTTAATTAGTCAATATATTAAGGCCTTAATTTATGCTGTGATGAATTGTGTGAAAATTGGTTATTCTGTGTAACATTAAATGAAGTAATTTTGTCTAAAAGGAAACTTCAGCAGACTTGTATTTCTTTTTTCCTGTGAGTATTAAATTTATAGAAAGTCTTTTGAGATACATTCAAGTCATAGAAATATTAGAAAAGTTTTTCCTCTTAAGATTTGTTCATGATTTATTTTATTAGTAGTAATATTATTTTTACTGATTTACAGAAGACTGGAATGTCCTACAGATCTCACAAAGCAGTATTTATATGCCAGCTTGCTTTTATATACAGAAAAAATATTTGAATTTTGCTATACAAGCAAGTGGCTGCTTTTTCATGGGTGGAAAACCTGGCCTGCTGACAGCTGTTTGACTGTGTCCTGGTTAGTTCGAGCAATGGTTTCACACTGTGTCTGCTGCAGCGGCTCAGCACATACCTCAGGCTCTTCCACAGGATTTTTCTTTCTTACGTACACAATCACATGTACTTGCTCTGTCTTTCCCACTCACACATATATCCCTGAGAGCATGTGTGTAGTAGGTGGGTGTTTATGTATATGTACACACTTCATCTCAGTGTATAACAAATGGAAAATAAAGCCGTGTCCAAAACAGCACCTACACAAAAATGCATTATTAGAGTTTAGTGGACAAACTAATAATCTTATGACAAGGTTTCCCAACTTTCAGTTTGCAGTTAGGAGTGACTGAGAAAACGTTTCTCTCTGCAGAGACTGGGTGGCTGAGGTGGTGGCCCTTGCTCTGTACTCCAGTGTGTCTGTAGCATTTTCCTGTATAAATCAGACTTCCTTAAAAGACTAGCCGAGCAAGAAAGGTTTTCTTATACTGATGTATTACGCAAATATTTTTCTAGGCTAAGTGTCTTTATTGTGTAAAACGTTTACTGCTTTAAGATACTTATTTTGCTGTCTGTTTTAATCATATCTTTTGAAAAAGTCTCAATAGATTTTTCCATTCGTAACATTATGACACTTGATAAGGTGATTGATTATGAAGTGTTGAGAGCCCTGCCATGTGATCATTTATTTTTAGATACACATTTGTACTAGCCAATGCTTAAATTTTTTGCAGGAATACTTGAGAGATCAAAAACATAAAGCTTGAGTTTGATCGAATCTGATGCCTCTGGAAATAGAGTGCCACAGTACTGTGGTCTTAAAATAACAGATTCTGACTGAAACTGGAACTTTGCAGTCATAAGTATTATGTAAAAAATTATGGTCCATCTTTGGTACAAAATAAAAAAGACATACAGCTGTGGTGGAGGCGAACTAAAATATGTTTGATGATGATATCTTTCTTTCCCTGTGCAGGTGCCTGTGTCAGTGGCCATGATGACTCCCCAGGTGATCACCCCTCAGCAAATGCAGCAGATTCTCCAGCAACAAGTGTTGTCTCCGCAGCAGCTTCAAGCACTTCTCCAGCAGCAGCAAGCAGTTATGTTGCAACAGGTAATGTGGGTTACCTGCTTTGGACTGTTAACACAGGGCATTCGCACAAATGTCAGTTAGATTTTATGAGTCTTATTTTGTAATATTTCATTGTTCATTACACCAAAAAGAATGAAAATAAATGTGAAACTTCTCAGTCTTTACATTCCTTGTTTTAATTGCAGAAGTGTGAAATTGGTATTTTGAAGTATTAAATATTATACTAAAACCAGCAGCAGCAGCAGTGGCAGATACATTACAAATACCGAACAAATTGATATTTAAATTTTTAAGTGCTTAGGCACTTTTAATTGTAGACTTGCCAAAGGAAGTGCAAATAGAGTTGCAGATAATTGTTGATTTAAAATTCATAACACTAGTGCTCCCTTTAGTCACATAAATGGTATGCGGTTATGAAATTTGAACTTAGCAGCTTGTTTCATCATGGGAAAAAGTTTTTTTTGTTTTGACATCCAAAAAATTTGTCCCAGAGTAGGCTAAAAAGAAGGAGGTTGCTTTTCCCTTAGCACAAAATCTTACAGCTAAGTGAAGAATCCATGAACTTGTTATCCATACAATAAAGATAGTGTCAGTGATCAGGACCTCAGTGTAATGTGGAGTGGATTTTTGGTTGGGTGCTTAACTGTCATACAGAAAATGGTGTGTCTGTTTGCCATAGTCATAGCTCAATCACAGTATGTTTGAACACTTTAATATTCAGTACCGTGATCATTACAGGCAATTCACTTTCAGTTGTGAATCCAGCATCCTGCTAAACAGATTGACAGATTAATTACTTTTTTCCCCTAAGAAACAGACAGCTTAGTTTGGCCTTAGTGACTTGTAGGTTTCTTGCAAGTAGATGAGTACAGCTTCTGATTTGTTATATAGGAAATGTGAGGAACTTAGGTATAGTTATTTGAGGAGTTAATTTGGCTCTTGCATTCCCTTTAGAATACAGATTTTCTATACCCTTCTGTTTAGGATATTTTGGAATCTGCATTGGAAAATTTCAGAACCGCCTTGGAAAAAAATGTATGTAGATCTGCCTCTTCAAATCACTTTTTTTGTTATGAGGTGATTCTTAATGGCTACGCTACCATATGCCAATCTAGAAGAGTTTAGGAGATTTATAGTACTTGAAACTTTTGCCTTTATTTATTAAAGTCAAAATGGTTTATTCAGCAACAACTACAAGAGTTTTACAAGAAACAGCAAGAGCAGTTACATCTTCAGCTTTTGCAGCAGCAGCAACAGCAGCAGCAACAGCAGCAACAGCAGCAGCAACAGCATGCAGGAAAGCAAGCAAAAGAGGTAGGAGCTAATACCCTTGCTGATGCGTAGTGGTCTGAGCTGTCAGAAGCTTGGAAAAGACAAGATGAGTTTAGATTTTTTTTCCTATAGGGAGAATGCAGCTATCAAAGATTTGTTCTTACGTTTTTACTGGGCTTCATAGCAGTACTGGTGTAATTCTCCTGCTCCTCTCTCTGAGACATAGGATTTGAGTAGTCTAGTGCTGCTGTCCTCTAATGTTCACTAATGAAGCCGAGTGTGCAAAAAAGAAGCTGTGTGGTGGACACCATACTGATTATCTTGTATTCACAGGCAATCTGTGTTGGGTAAAGAGCCTTACTTTTCTCAGTGGCACAGCTCAGAGAGCATGCAAATTTAGTCCATGGCTGAAAAAGAGCGATCGAGCACAGATTTCAAAGTCACAGGCCCCTGATTAATGAACTGCTACTGTAGGTTTGGAGTGGCGAGTAGAAAGTTACAGTTTGATGTGCTCATAAATCAACCTGACAAGCGGGTTTCTCAGGCCTAGCTCGCACTTGTCAGCAAACTGCATCAAATATAAACATAATACAAACAAAACATGTTGAAGTAGTTAAATTGATCAGCAGGTATCCTAGACGATGTCTTCAAGCTGCCCATTATGCAAACGTCAAGGAAGCAGTTGTGACCTCCTGAGGCTTTGTTTCTGTTTGGATTTGTGAACAGAATTTCAGACAGCCATCAACTACGGGATAGAAATTGCTCCCGTATTTCTCCGGAGGCTCTCGGCAATCCACATGACTTGCTCCATTATGCAGTCTGTTTTCCAGTGAGCGCATCAGAAGTTTCTCTTTTCCCCAAACTAGAAAGAAAAGGTCTTCCACAGCAGCTTGTCTTTCTCTGAAGTGTGACTGCCTTCTCATACCCTCCTGAGTCTTTGCAGACTCCAGTTTGTCTTGAAATGCCTCACAGAATTGGAACTTAGACTTTTGCTACATAATAGGGCACTTGGTTGCCTTGAATGCAATGCACCTTTTAATATATTCCAACAAGAAAAGAAAGAGAGTGAACAGACCAGTGAAATGAAGGCTACATCCCAGTTTACTAATAGATCACTGGAGACCACATTCATGGGCCACTGCAGACAAAACTTAGTCAATTGGAAAAACAAGAGTGCCTTCGAATCGCAGGCTGCTGTAGAGTTATACTTTTAGCATAGATAAATTTGTTATAATCTGCCATGAGCTGGGCTTTTTTTTTTGTTTGTTACAGCCGTTATATACTTTCTCTTGACCTTTTCCTTTAGTGTGTCATTAAGTGTATCTTGCCATTTTCCCTAACATCTAGTAGTTTGAATGAATATAACAGAAAATTTCAGACATTTTTGCTGCCTGAGTATTCTACAAATAGCATTATTATTTAATAACTAAGATTAAAAAGAAGGAAGTTGATTTTACATTTTTGGCTTTCTAGCCTTCAATGCACACTTTACTTTTTGCTGCATTTGCCTTTTTTTTTCCCATCCTTCTTTTTGTAGCAGCAGCAGCAGCAGCAGTTGGCAGCCCAGCAGCTTGTCTTCCAGCAGCAGCTCCTCCAGATGCAACAACTTCAGCAGCAGCAACATCTGCTGAACCTCCAACGTCAGGGACTCATTTCCATCCCACCTGGCCAGTCTGCTCTTCCTGTCCAGTCTCTACCACAAGGTATTCAAGTAATATATGATTGGAGTATTTTCTAATTCACAACTTTTTTAACTGTTCCATTTGCAGACGAACTTCAGCAGTTTCCTGTTATGACACTTAAATGTACTCTGTTATTAGAACTTTATTACTCATATTACCAAATTTTCTTTACTTTTGAAAAGTAAATTAACTTGAAGATAAATGCTGCTTACATTTTAAGATAAGGCAAAAGACTTCCTATCTTAAGGACTCTGTAACTTGTGAGGTGTGTGTTTTCTGTTTGTGTTACCATAGAGAGGTGAGCTAAATGTCTGTCATAAAAATTACACAATACTCTTATCTCTGATGCTCCAGTCCTGCCATAAGCATTGTTTAGACTGTGTTCATGACAGCTAACATTACATTAAATTGGTCTTTATGCATGTATCTGGTTCCTCCACCAGATAACTATTATGAAATCGAAGCTTCAGAAATTAGATGAGCAAAAGCAGAGTACACAGGATATAGACAACATTGAAGACAAAAAAATAAAAAGATAGAAAAAAGGCGTGAGAAAGGCTTACCCTCTGAAAACCTCAGTCCCTGGAAAGCAGAGTTTACAAATAAATGTGTAAATTCCATACATTTTGTTTTGTGGAAAAGCTATGACCCAAGCATATCTAAAGTCATAAAAATTACAACAACAAGAGATTCCTAAGTAAGCTATCACACTAAGTATTATTATTTGAGTATAGCTGTGGGGAGGCAAGCTGATTCATGAATTTGCACATGTGAGACTGGTAATGCTGCTTTCCTTTTGTACAAAGTCACATTGGACCAGGATGGAAAAAAGCAATTGAAACACAACCTCCCTCTGAACACTTTATCTTCTGCAACCTCCTCTTGTGCCATCTGTTGCAAGAGGAATTCCTCAAGTTTTCTCTCACATTAAGGAATCCCCACAGATTTCCCTCAGCACTCCTACCCAATTCTGCTGATATTTATTAGTTTAGTGCAACACTCATTCATCCAATTCTAGTAGAAAAACGTAGAAAAAATAATACTTATAAAAATACATTTTTAGGAGAACTGGTAAACAGTTCTTTTTAACAACTTTCTTTTACTCAAAGAATTAAGCATAACTGAAGTCATGACAAAAAAGACTGATACTAAGGAAATTCTAAAAATACAAAATTTTAAAGTTAAAATATATCTGGATTGTTCTTTTTAAAGTAAATTAATCTCTTGTTTGCTTCTGCCTTGATAATTTTAAATTATAATGTATTTCAGCCAAATCAATTTTTCTCTCCTAGTTCTAATATCTATTGTTATGTAGGGTTCCTTTAGATACGCAGGTTAATTTATAGGACTTTAATTTTTCATATCCCTTACATGAATGTGCAAACTTAAAAAACATAAGACAGCTTCCCCTGGAAAAACTCTCTGTATCTTCAGAAAGGCCACTCACTCTGTGCCAGACATGGTGAAGTTAGAGTGATGAGGGTAAGAAGGGAGGTCTTTCTAGCAAGATGCTAAGCAAGAGAGAACCAAATGCACAGTTGTGACCAGCTCACAGTCCTTTCTGTGCAGTTCTCTTACAGCACATTGTGTCTTTCATAAGAAGGTACAGCATGCAGTCCAGTTCGTAATAATGTAATGAAGATTGATGGGCTTCACATATGTTGAGACTTTCTTGTAAATCTTAAATTTACACATCCAAATACATCCAAATATATCCAGTATTTGCAAATCCAAGCAGTATAACATAGATGTCCCTGCACTGGGGTTTGCATAAAAATAAGAGGATCAAACTTCCTTTATTTTTCTTATAAAATTTAGCAAATTTTCTGTGGCAAATTAAACCTTCAGAATTTATTTAAAGTAATACACACTGGATGTGGTAAAAGGATGTTTTTCTCCTTCCACTGTGCTGCAAGATGTATAATATATTTATACAGAAGGATTTACTTGTGTGTAACACAAGTATTCTTATATGCATCCGTTTAGACTGCTGAGTTACATGCATGACTAGGACAATGAGAGAAACAGAGGGATTTGTGTTTATAAGTTATTGGTCATCAAGAGTCCTATAAACCACAAATTATTAGTGACAGAGAGAGCATGAGTTTTGCATTTGTTAGCATGAAAAAATGTAACTTCTAAGTACAGCTGTGAGGTTTGCATATATAAACAGTATTTGCTGCAAGTATAATTTCTGCCTTTAAAGGACGGGAATGTTTACAAAGCTTTCTTGATGGTTAGGTATAGCAAATAAGATACAAGAAGAGTTTTAGCATTTATTTTGTGACAAGATCTTCACTATGCCACATCCAAAACCAGTGTCTAACTGGGAGTTAATTGCCTGTAAGGCTGCACTGATGCTAGCTAAATACAAAGGACTGTAAATGATAACAATAAAACCCCCCCCAACAAACAACAAAACCCAAAACCCTAAGTTTTGATCAGACCATGTAGGAAAATGAAAAATAGATGCATGGATGGGTTTTGTAAGTGGTAGTTTTATTAAGTATTTATTCAAACATGAAAATGAAGTAGATAGTGGTGAAAAGAGTTATAAAACTAACTTCGAAATCCCAGTGTTCTTGGTGTTAGTAAACTGCATATCAAATCAGTATTTGCCCTTTTCGTTATATTCTCTAATTTTTATCCGACTCTGGATCCAATTCCTGATCCTTTCTCCTTTAATGTAGTGTGGAAAGGGTATTTTGAGGGTTGTCACAACCTATGAAACATTAAAACTTACCCTACTTTTACATCCAGACGAAAATATCTATCAGCCATTTTACAAGTCTCTTGTAAAATGGGAGTTGGACTTTTTTAGACACAGAAACTACAAAATTGCCATAATTTACAATTAATTACAAATCCGCTTATTAACTTTATACTTTTTAAGTGCCTGCCCTTAATCCTTTTATCCTAAAAGGCAGCCTTTCAGAGTGCTCTGAAGAAGTGATAAAATTAACCAGCCTGAGCTCAGAGAGAAATTTATTTCTGAATTTTTAAAAAATCTAGGTGGATTAGGCGGCCTGGAGACACAGCTCCATCCTTCATGCAGAGGCAGAGGCTGCCCAGCAGTTGCCCAGAGGGGCAGGAGAACCCTGCCCATCGGAAGCGCCATTGCTCGAGCCACTCCCAGCCCTCATTCATTCACCCAGCTTCTGGGGCAGCTCTTACTCGACTTCCCCAGGGCCCAAACTTTGATGATCTCTGATGAAAATTTTCTTGCTGAAAGACACAATGATAAATTTGTCCTCTGATTATTCAAACAGATGGGTTTATTCTTGGTTTTTATTTTTTTTCAGTACAAAATTAGTTTATTTTGTTCAACAGCAGAAGGAAGGGAAGACTTTGAAGTAAATAATGTACAGTGTATATCATGCCACCTAAATGAATACATTACTTTTCATTTTGATTTGTGATTACATTTGCGGGGAACTATTATTTACCATGCTCAAATGGGTTATTTGCGGTGTTGCTGGAACATACCTCATGAACATGGCAGTAATTACTTACCTTCATTAAACAATTACAACTAGTGTTGCCATCATCCCTGTTACCCATCTCTCTAATGCAGTAAATTAGAGCCTGGCTTCTTTGCTTGCTTACTTAAAACCTAGCTTTTTGCTGTACAAATATGGTATAAACTCTAATTTTAATACTGACATTCCAATCAATTTTTTTTCACTTTGTCATTAACTGAGTTTGCCAGTGGGTGTTGGTATCTAAGACAGAGAAGCAGGATGCAAAATAGTAGTCTAAAAATGAGCTCCTTTCATATCTAAAAAAAAAAAAAAAAAAAAAAAAAAAGAATACCTTCCAACCAATTTTTTTCCACACCTCCGGAAATTATTTCTACAAATCAATACTAGTCTATTTTAATAGCTTTGTATACTTCGTTATGAGACAGCTATAGAGAAGTATTAAGGAACTTACTGTACTTTTTCATAATTTTTTGTTGAATCTGTTTCAGTAGTCCGAGTTCCTGTTTTCAAAGTAAAACATTGTCTAATAAACAGATTTGCCAAACAGTGAAAAACAATCTTTATATCTTTCTAATATATATTGTTTACCAAACAAAACTATCCTCAATTAAAAGTCTGAATTAATAGATCCATTTTTATCCTTTTCTGAAGGACAATAATTGAGCTCTTTCATAAAATATAAAGAGTAAAATTTTAATTGAGACAACATTGGCATTGTGAATGTTTTACCTTCCAGCAGGTCTAGATACCATGAGCATGTCTTACTTATTTTCACTTCTTCAGACAAGATACAGAAGACAGAATTAGATTTAAGATACCTCTGGCCCAAACAATGTCAGGCTGAAAAGCCTGGCCATGAAACCAGATCTTTCACATGGAGCTCTCCAGGCTTCAAATTATTTTCTGCATTTAATTTGGTGTTCAACAAAAGAGAGATGTCAAACTTAGACTGGCAGTGACAGAAGAAGGTATATATATATTTCTGATGAACTCTTCATCTTTCAGAATCTGAATTTCCTACCTTAGCTGCATGTTTGGTAGCAAGATAAGAGAATGCTCACAGCTCTTCTCTTGCCTGTGTTTTGGGAGTGTCTATTTCAGGCAAAAGCATATTGTAATGGAATTTTTCATGACTTTGTGCAAAGTGCTCAACTCAAGCCAGACAATCCTAACATAGATGTATGAATACATTCTACAAGACTATTTGTGCTATTTGTGGCCCAGAGTGAATCCTGGAAACTACAAGTATTCAGGCTACAAGTGGAGTATAGAGTAAATTTAATCTCTGTCCGCAAAGATCTGGTGGCTAGACTCCAGAATAGAACTGTGCATATAGCAGAGAAGTTTGAGAAGCAATTAAAATTTCGTAAGGCTGCCCATCACCCCAGGAGAGTGGTGAGACGGAGTCTTCTTTCTCCTAGCCAAACCCTCCGATTTGTTTTCCACAGTAGGGCTGGACAAAAAAAATAGTGGAGGTATTTGATGGTCTACACAACATATAATTTCATCTGTGTAGAGGGAGTTGCACATGGGTGTTTTGCCAATTGACAGGGCTGGCAAAAAAGGACACAGACACCAACTTCATACTAGAAACAAACTTATTTTAGTCTAGTTTAAAACAGGGAAAAAAGAAGAGTAAGCAAGGTACAGAATTAAACAGGGTAATGCACCTAATCATTACTGCATAAGAGAAAGCATAGTGATTAAGAAAGGAACATCACCAATTGCCCTAATACTTATCATCATCCACATCCTGTAAATCAACTGGTGAGCCCTGTCAAAGTGAAGGATTTGGAGAGCCTTTCCCTGGCAATTGGGAAGTCCTTCACAGTGTATCAACTCCTAGGTGAGGTCTCCATCTTTGCTGTGAGATAGTCCTGCTTTTATACAATCTAGCTAACAAATTATAGTAACATCTGGTGGGCAAGTTTCACTTCACATGGGCACATCCCGGATTTTGCCAGGATCCGAGATACATCTGAGAAGCTCCTATCTTGGTATTCTGCACCTGGCTTTGAATTGTAGAACTAAAAGTCTCACAGTCTTATTTCATGCTGATGCAATACAGGCTGGGAAAATAATCTCATGGTCACATTTCATGCTACCATAATACAGGTTGGGAAGTTCACTCAAAAGTCAACTTTAATTTAAGACTTATAATTTAAGCCTTTGTAATGGGTCAGTTTCATTGGCTTTCTATTTGTCTGGTCCCACTGGATGGTACTGAAGAGCTTAAGCGGTCACCAGTATCTGTGCTGCACTGTTGTGGTTTTGTTCTTTCAAATAGTTGCTTTGGTTTTGCCTCTTAAGACATATTTTTAAACTGAACAATTTTTGTAAATATTAAACTGGACGAATGAATATGTGGGTGTCTTTAATTAGAGTCAGATGCATTCTGCTCAAATGTTAAACCTGTTATGATCTCATTGATTTCATTTTTATCTTCTGATTTTTCTCCCTTTGGTCTTGTCCCTCCACTCCCTGCTCTTGTTAAGTGTTTAAAGAAAGTATCAGTGTTTCTCTGCTTCAGCATAATATGTTTTTCTATTTTCCATTACATGTTTGATTAAGAGGAATTATGAAACCTGAGTTCACTGTGGATGCATTGAATTATGTTTCCATGTCAAGAAATTGATTAGGCAGACAACAAAAATCTTGTCTGGAAGTATATTTAGGATTGGGTTTGGTTTTTTTCTTTTCAAAAAGTAGTTGCAAGTTCTTTGTAGTTTTCCCTCTTTGATCCTTGAGCAATATTTTCAGAAGGGGTATAATATTATTAAAATTGATGATTTCTAGTTGACTGTTTATAAGACAAGAGAAGACAGCTAGATTACCTGGTTTCTGACAGAAGAAAAATGAATTTATGTTTTACTACACGTTGATTGTGCTGGAAAGACAGCATCAGCTTTATTGTTGGCATTAATCCATTAATAACACTGAGCTCATTATATGAAACTCTTTAATTTGTTATATTAGTGGGGTTCTTTTTCATTTTATAGCTGGCTTAAGTCCTGCTGAGATTCAGCAGTTATGGAAAGAAGTGACTGGAGTTCACAATATGGAAGACAATGGCATTAAACACGGAGGGCTAGACCTCACTACTAACAATTCCTCCTCTACTACCTCCTCCACCACTTCCAAAGCATCACCACCAATAACTCATCATTCTGTAGTGAATGGACAGTCTTCAGTTCTGAATGCAAGGCGAGACAGGTAATTCTGACAAGATTTCAACTGTGTTTATCATTTGACATAAAGCTGTTGTTTAACATCATAAGTCATGTTACTTCCAATCACACAATAGCACTTAATACAGATTACTTAAGAGATCATGGAGACATGATTTTTCAGAATGGTTTATCAATGGGCATCATTATCAGTAACCATGTCTAATTTTGCAGATGCAACGACAATTACCTGCCTGTGGATTCATAACACATGATCTTATAGTAAATTAGAAATCCCAGGATAGAGCGTGCTGGTTTAGAGGTGTAAATGCAGAATTGTGGGCACTTTTGTAGGCGCATAGTTTCATTCATATTTGAGTTAACACATCTGACAGTTGTTGAATCACACTGCTGGTTTCATAGAAAATGCACATATATCTTAGTTGTCAAGGCTGTAATTCAGTGCAAAAATTCAGTGTAAAAAGTGCTTTCAAAATTAGTACATTAAGGCAGTTCTCATATTGTTTGTTGCTTTTGAAGAAAACCACTGAATTTTCCTTCTTATATGCACAACAGCAATGCAATTGACACATTTCATACAAATTTTCAGTGGCATTAGTGTCATAAAGTGGAATTCAACCATACCGATAAAGTTAAAATAATTTTTCAGATGCATTGACAGATATTTTTTCACCGTTCTTTATTTTGAAGTAATGGATTAAATGCATACAAGAATACATAGTATCTGTAGCACTAAATAGTAAATATAGTAGTATAGTATACTACTATAGTATAGTCAGTTCTAGATGATCTCAATATAAGATGAAACTTAATTTGTATCTACATAACCTAAATTGTAGATAATTTTATTTTCCAATAACTATTCCATTTAATTATTTTAATATTTATAATGGGGAACTATAATTTAAGTGTATCTGGTCCTCACGTGACTGTGAGAACATTTTTCTATTGTTATTTTGTATTACTTAAAAACTGCTCTCTGAATATTTTTATAGTAGTACTTTTTGTGATTATATCTCAGAGTGGTTCTTTGCTTCAGGATGCGTAGCTGACACTCGATTCCATGGGACAGTGCCCTGAATTTCTTTGATAAGGGTACATGGGTGAAACTATTGTGGAGGTTCCAAAAAAAGACACGGAATACAGCTGGGGTGTTTTACGAAGCCAAGTAGCTAATGGAAGCAACACTTGTGAACAAAAGGATTTATTAATGGAAGCAACTTTATTTTTATACACATTTAATCAGAAAATCCAAATACTTTGTAGTAACATTCACAATATTCATGAGTTCTGACTGTCTATCTTCAATATTTCTTCTCAGAATTGATCACTTTTGAGTATATTTTTTATTTATGGGTAAATGTTACACCAAGGTCATATGGCAGAATTAGCATATGGTATTATACTGTAATCTTATTTTTTCATCCTTTATTAACAGTCATCTTTGGCTCTATTTCTTCTCTAATTGGAACATCATCTAGCCTTGGCAGTTGAACTATTCAATAGAACGATTAAATTTTTCTGACTGCTCTGAGCTAAATTGACCTGTTTTGACCTGTTTGTCACTGATCGTAACCTGACAGGCGCTAGCAGCCTCCAACGATTATAGCTTTTGAGATGAATCTGATGCCTTATTCTTTTGCTACAGCTCGTCACATGAGGAGACTGGGGCCTCCCATACTCTCTATGGTCATGGAGTTTGCAAATGGCCTGGCTGTGAAAGCGTTTGTGAAGATTTTGGACAATTTTTAAAGTAGGTAGATTTTTATTCATTGGTACACGGTTGTTTATTTTTGGGAAAGAGAAAGATGGCAAACAAAGTTTTACTGTAAATTATGTCAGAGGGTTTTTTTTGTGTACTCCAAGCAACTGGATAATCGAGGCTATCTGCAGAGGGTCAAATTCTTATCCTTTCTTTCATGTCAAACACTTTTGCAGGCCTTTCAATAGCAGAGTGTTTAATCCTCTTATTATCTTTTACTGAAATGGAGCCTCAGAAAATTTGAAGAGATGCTTTAGATTGTATATTGGATAGTAGGGGTATGAAAAAGCACATTTTCAATTCTGTCAGTTTGTGTATAGTGGGAATTAATTTGCATAGTATAAAAAAACCCCCACAAAGCCACAAAGGACTAAGTGTGACCATTTAACTGTCACTTGCTAATTTATTTTTACCTTTACTTTTGTATGTGCATAAGATACACAGAAAAAAAGCACTGGGAACAGGTGGGTTTGCACCTTTCAGGACTGAACAGTGATTTTAAAAGTTTTCACTTTTCATATCTGGTTTTTCTAGCTATTGTCTAGCTAAATCAGGACACTTATTCTAAGTGACACAGCTTTTGCTTTTCAACTACAGCTTCAAACTACAATAGTTTTCTGCTTTTCTTTTTTTTTTTTTTTTTAGTAGTTACTAGTATTTGTGTTCATTTGAATTTTCATCAACAGCACTGATTTTCTACCTGTGTACCTTATGGACTGATCTTTGTCAAAAAAGCCATACCCATTTTGGCATGCAATAGATCTTAATGGAAAGCTACAGATAGGTTTATATAGATGAGTAACTTCAGGGGCTGAGTCTCTTATGTTGTCATGGTGCAGCTAACAGGGTGAATGAACTGTTTCATGCTTCATCAACAATTAAGTTAATTAGCTCATTTGAAATTGCACTGCTTTGTTGCCAGGATGTTGGCAGAAACATCAAAAAGATGTGTTTACAAATGGTAGACTACAGGGTATATAACAGAAGCACCTTAAAAACAGACCATGACTACTCAGTGTCACAATAACTTTTATAATAAAATTATAGCAGTACTTTTCATAAAGTATTTGCAATGCTTTTTCCATCTTTCATGCTGTCTTTCAGTTTTAAATGAAGTAACTTATACTGACTTGCAAATCTTAGGTAGGTATCACTCATGATAAATTTTTGTTTAGAAGTGCATTAAGTGGAATGTCAAAATAATGACTTATTATTGGAGAAAACTATATAGGATTTAAAAGAACCTGATTTACATAAGTTTGTATTAAAAGGAAAATTAAATCTCCCAAATTCAATGTAGTGTTCTAAGTATTATTAATACTAAGAATTTAAATTCATTTAACTCAAGCATTTACTTTTTCAAAAAAAAATACATTTTCTAAATATATCCATCCTTCTAGGCTATAGTGATGCTAATTCTATGGGCAGACTTTGCACATCCATTATGTCAGGTCTCTTGTTATAATCCACGATCACTAAAACCATTTTGATTAAGGCAGTGTAGTGCTAGGTTTACAGATGCTCTTGCTTTCCTGAACCAAATAACCCTGTAAAATGTGAAAGCGATGTAAAACATCTTGATAATTCTGGTGCAGAGTCAGTCAGGGTTTACAGCACCGTCACAGCTTTTGTCCTATGCACCAGGAAAAAATGTTTGGGAATATTTTACTATTTTTTATTGTCATTCAATTCTGTCTTCTATGCCCTTAAAACAAATAAGAAGTCATGGTGCTGAATAGGCGAGGTTGTTTATGAAATAGAAATATTCCTTCATTTTACACTAGCATTAAGATGGAAATCAATACATAACCTTGCATTAGGTTCTTCAGTACCTTTTCATGTTCACACTAATGCAAAATCCCCATTACAATTAAAAAACATTTTCTTTCAATTAAATATCAACTTTTAGTCTAAAGATTGACCATTTTTCCAACCCATTAACTTTATAGGGGATGACAGGACTAATGGCTGTAGTTTTCAAGGCTTTGCTCTTAGTCTAATCTTTGTTACAATGTTTTAGGCTCTCTAACTTGAAACAATGTGGTACCTGTGTTAAGCGAGTTAATGCAAGTGTATTGTACCAAAATGAAATATTAATAAGGTACACTACCTCAGTCTAGTAGTGTGTACTTCTGTAATGTTCTTATGACAACTTTGAAGAGTGCCTGGTTTATTAAGTGAACTCCAACTTCTTGTGCTCAGAAAATGGTTTACCTAGCAGCTTGATTAAAAAAAAAATAAAAAAAAAATATATATATATTGTGTAGAGCATCAGAAAAGGAGGATTAAGACAGAAAACACTGGCTTTGCTTCACTTTCCTAATTACGGAAAGGATTGAGGGTTACGTGACAAATAACTTGCAATAAATGACTTAAAGCCTCAAAAGCTATTTTCATCTTCATTTTTGTTTATCCATTATGAATTGTTTTATTTTTAAAATAATTTGAGGATACTCCAGTTATCTAGAATTCCTTTGAGATATTCTGAATAGCTAAAGAAGTTATACTTTGTGTGCTGTGGACTAGATGCGTATTTGGAAGCATATGCATTGGTTTCAGGAAAGTATAACCAATCTTCACCATAATATATTTCTGTACATATAGAAAAAACCTAATCCTCTATCTTTCCTTTAATATTCTTCAACTCTAGACACAAACCCACAGTTCATATTTTACAGAACAATTTTCTATCTTTGCAAAATGGTGTTAGATTACAGTTGCTCATGCATGCAAGATCAGTTTTGATTGTTCAGCAAAAACAACAGCTTTTGGCTTAAGAAAAACTTCAAAATGTAAAGACAGATCAGAAAAAGCCGTGACATAACTAGAAAGAAGATGGCAATATTTAAACAAAATGCCAGGCACTGTAACAATTAGAAGAGTGCCAAAAATGCTTGTGAAAATTCAGAATTTTACTGTGAAACAGGTGTTGACAGAAACTAACCATTTTGCTGGTCTCTAAGTGAGGAAACTAGTAGATTACTAAAAGCATTTAATAGTAGTTCTTCATTATGATTTTTTTAAATGTCAGAGTACAATAACATGTGACAAAACTTCAGTGTATTTTGTCTGTAAAATTAATTATCATTCCATTGGTCCTAAGTCAGCCTGAGTAGGAAGGATTTGACTTTTAGAGCTTAAACCAAAAGGTTTAC